CTCGAGAAGAGCCGGTATCCTCCTTTGAGGGGATCGACGCTTGAAAGTGTTTGTTTTGCTTGGACAAAATGCACTTCATAATACACAGGGGCGATTTTATATCATCCCACATGTATTGAAAGGTTTTGGTATGCCGTTATAATGCCCGCATATCTCCTTTATACATGTGGGGGATAGAAAATCGTCACACCTGTTATGGGATAGCGACTATATCTTATGGAGTAAGATATACCGCTTTCTCTAAAATTTTAGGACTATACTTACACCATTTGTGTGTATGTTTCTTTTATCAGTCCGATTTCCTTCTTCCATCTTTAATGCTGATGCGGTTACGGGTCGGAGTAGCATGACCCATTCTTATTATGAGGGAATTCCGTTAATTGCATCATCTCCCCAGTTTAAATCTGATTATAGCGGAAGTGATAGAGAATTAATCCAGCGAGGTAGCTGTCGTGTTCTACGCCGATTAATCACAGATGCGACCTTGACTTCGGATCAAGACTCGAATCACTGTATAAGGAAGCCAGATTTCTTGTTTGGTGATTCAGTGAAAGATCCAGAGGTTGCTTCCTGCAAGTCTGCGCAATGGTTGCACCAGAATGGATCCTCATTCTTATATCTGCCTTTTATCCCCCGAGATCATTCACTGTTAAAGTTCAGGAACCTATCGGTTGGACGTGAGATGTTCTGGAAGTTAACTGAAAACCACGAGCGCATTCATTGTGGTTTCATTAAGAAGGAAGCCACCCCAGCGGGTGTCTTAGGACAAGACAACCTACCTCAGACTGAGAAGATAGTGCAAGCCAACACCGTGAAGAACCGGTTAGCGGCAGCGGGAAAAAGATTACCCAAAGAGACTTTTAGATGCTATGGATGGGTTCATTATTCTGGGGACCAATGGTGGTGGACCAGGATGACCCGATATGTGTTAAACCGTTTTGGGCGAGAGTTAGCAGAATTAGGGTTGGATGTTCCGATCCGTGCCAGCATGCATGGCCTGCAGAGTAGTGTAGGTCATTTCCTCTGTTTGTTCGAGATCTATAACCCGGACACTAATACATTCTTTACCAAGAACGGGGAACTCGGATTACCACTGCATGAAATGATGCAGGTGTCTGGTTTGCCTATGGGCGATGTTCCCTATCAAGAGTTCTTTCCAACTAGCAATCAGCTGAACAAGATGAAAGATAGCTCAACTGTGACTCATGATACTTTATGGGAATTGACCTGCCATTATCATATAGCCATGGCCGAGATGGAGCCCAAAGCCAGAAAGAAATCTCCTCAGGTCAGCTTAAAACAATTCGCTGATTATCTTTTCAAGAACCTGGATGACCGTTCGGCAGATGTGACCTGGTTAGTACTTCATCGACCATATTTAATGGAAGCTCCTGAGACGGCAAATTCTAGCATCCCTCTGTTGCAGAATCTCGAGA